ACTACGACTACTACGACTACTACGACTACTACGACTACTACGACTACGACTACTACTACTACTACTACTACTACTACAGCTACAACTACAACCACAACAACAAGAACAAGAACAAGAACAGTGGGTCGGATGTGTCCTGGGCTCATGTCTTTTGGTGGTCTTTAAAGGCCCTGGTGAGTGGATGTTCTGGGCACCTTGATCCTCCAAGAACAACATGGACCCCGGGGCCACAACCACCCCAAATATGTCATGCATGGAGTGTCCCAGCCTACCGGTAACAGTTGGTAAACAAGAACGTCACCTTTGTGATCACTATTTTAGAGAAATGCCTGCGACCTAACTATCATCATCTTCCAGTGGGTCCTGGTTAGAGGATATACAGTGGTTTCAGAGATTCAGAGTAGATGGCACAAACCCCCAAAAGGTGGTTTATATATGGACCCCATCTCAAAAACATCTTGGGGTTTGCGCCATCTACGCTGAAACCATTGTATGTACCCCAAATATAGGTCAGCACATGTCAGTACCATTGGTCGCGTTTGGGGCACCCAACTCCATGGAACTACTGCCTCGTCATCCGACTGCACTGGCTCAGTCGTTTGTGTTGGAAGAAGTCGTTGTCGTTGAGTGCAGGAAGGGCGGTCACCAGAAATTCCTGAAGAAGCAGACCGGAAAGATGGTTGCCCAACGTGATTGTCAAGCCTGGTTCTTTTCGGAGTGGAAAGAGGACCTGCGACTCAAAGCATCTCATGATACCTAATTATTGAAAAGAATATCCATATCCCGGCTAATTAATGTTCTTTCATCAAGTAGTGGTATGACACCAAATCTCAGACAACCGATCGAACTACATTGAACTGAAATTCACATCTCTCACATGTGACCAAACTCGCTTGACTCAGTTCTATCTCTGAAAAGACCGTCGCCTATCATCCTAAATCGTTTCAATCTGCCACTTTGGGTGGTTGAATTTCTGGGGTTTCCATTTCACCCGGACGGCGTGGCCTTGCCATTCTCGCCATGGCAACTCCTCGCTGGGCAGCCAGTGGGCCTGCCAAGGCGACTGTTTCGGTTGGAGAGTTGGCCGGTTGGAGATCGCTCTTAGGTTGGAGGCCATCGCTCTTAGGTTGGAGGCCATCGCTAGCACATTGCAGGCCATCGCCTTGCTTGATACAGAGGAATGAGCCACCAGGTCCTCCGAAAGGTGTGCCAGCTTTTGTAGGATTCCCTTGGGTCCTCCGGTGGGTGGAAGCACCCAGCACACCGACACGACCTTTAAATGGGTCGATGTTTAAAGCCTCAGCGGTGGCTCCCGCTCCGTTTGGGCAAACATTTGACATGCTGACGGGAGTTGTAAGCAGCCCAGCCCGTTTTGCTGGCTTTGTTTGGTTGGTTGAATGCTGTTTGCATGTCACACGCAGTTTAAGATGGTTTAAGGCTCAGCACCGAGCTTGCCTCAGCGACTGCCAGGTCTTTCAGAGCTATGGGCAGTGCAAGGGGGAGGAGCGGGTTGAAGAGTCGATTTATTAATACCAATATTCGTAGAATGAAGCAACATGTAGAAACTGACTGAGGGAGGAGAACACCTGCGCCGTTTGACATCAAATTGTTCACTTCTTGCTTTTTACATCTGGTGGGGGCTGGAGGGCAAAGTGCATTGAAAACTACGTACTCACCGCTTTTTGCCTACACTATACAGTAGCAATATACTTGTATGCTTTATGCTCATGATGTAAGGTCAGTTGGCTATTATGCTTATACCTTTAATCAGCTGGCGATTTCAGGCTTGCAGTGCTCCGATACTTCAGATTGGTCATGTTGTGCTTATATATAGAGTAAATCCCCACTCAACATGTATTGGAACCGGTGCCACTATCTGTTTGGGGACAACTATATGTAGCGAGACCTCATTGTTATCAGGGGGTGAAGCCGTTTGGAATTCAGCTAGCTGTGTTTGTTCACGGTATCCATAGTGAGCCATAGTGAGCCAAGTGAGCAGCAGCCACTGCTTCCGAAGACCAATGAACACCAGTTTGGACAGGAATCTGAACGTGGGAAGCATCTACTGCTACTGATTCACTAAGCTGCTGCTAGAGGTTCATGTTCAAAGTTCAATTGGATTCGAGTGATTTTTGTTCCGACCAAACCCCTAATATTCTTCACCTCAAGTTCCCTATATCTTGGAGCTCAGAGTCATATCTTACAAGTAGGTCTCAATACACCTTTGACCTCCACACCGAACCTTGCCGTTCTCCCGACCACCAGGAACGGCGCCGTGAACTGGTCGCGAGCCTCGGCGCGTCCGGCGATGCGGAAGAGACCTTTCAACGAGCGGCGCTGACCCTGTGGTCCATTGCACTGGATGGAAAGGCGCGAAATCCGTTTGCAGATGTCGTCTGCAGATCGGGAGATGAAATGGGTCGCGAGAGTAGGAGAGAAATTATGGGGAAATTATTTGGCCTTGTTGTTGTTGTTGCTGTTGTTGTTGCTGTTGTTGCTGCTGTTGTGGTTGCTGCTGTTGTTGTTGCTGTTTTGTTGCTGCTGTTGTTGCTATTGTTTTGTTGTTGCTGCTGCTGCGGTTGTTGGTGCTGTTGTTGTTGTTGTTGCTGTTGGTGTTATTGTTGTTGTTGTTGCTGTTGTTGTTGCTGTTGTTGTTGGTGCTGTTGCTGCTGTTGTTGTTGTTGCTGTTGGTGTTGCTGTTTTGTTGCTGCTGTTGTTGCTATTGTTGTTGTTGTTGCTGCTGCTGCTGCGGTTGTTGGTGCTGTTGTTGTTGTTGTTGCTGTTGCTGTTGGTGTTATTGTTGTTGTTGCTGTTGTTGTTGTTGCTGTTGTTGTTGGTGCTGTTGCTGCTGTTGTTGTTGTTGTTGCTGTTGGTGTTATTGTTGTTGCAGTTGTTGACGTTGTTGTTGTTGTTGTTGTTGTTGTTGTTGTTGTTGTTGTTGTTGT